AATGGAAGAACAGGTATTGATACTTGAAAAACATCTTAATGATGGGCACTTCATGGGAGACTTTTGTGACTTAATCTCAGTCCTGGGATGCATCTTATGAAGCTCTAGATATTTTAATCTGACAGCGTTAAGGGAAATTCACTTAATATAGCAACAGTTAAATATTGTTGCTTAATGCTTTTTTTGGGAAAGTAACTTCACAGCTTACATAGAAAGGGATAGTATATGTGTTAAGCTACTTAAATGTCTCCAGTTTCTAATATCTAAATAAATGTCCTGTACAAAAGTTACCTTTGTATGTAACAGATGCTCTGTGCAAATAAGAAGATAAAATACTGCAGCTATTTCTCAAAACCTGATTATTGCTCTGAAGTTTCTTTTGACTCTAGCAGTATGTGAAATAGGAAGGACATAGTTCTGTTGGTGTTTGATTTTATTTAAAAATTCTGTAGGCTTTGGCTACTTCTGTAACTCATTTCTTGAATACACTTCAGTGACAAGGGTTGAAAAGGAGTAAGGTGTGTTAGGAAATACATAGAATACGAGAATGTATAACAATACATAAAATGAGAGGGACTAACAGAGTGGCGCATCCTTTGTATTAAGTGCTCAGGCTTATGAATACAGTGAAAACAATTACTTGGTTAAGAATCAAGATTTTCTAGTGGACATATAGTATCCAACAGTTTACCTATGTTGGGATCTCAGCGGAGAGCAAAAGTTTGGAGTGACTGTTGTACTACTACATGGATCCTTAATGCTGCCAATCTGTTTTCCTTAACTCAGAAATACTCCTTAAAGTACAGATGAATTAAGTTTTCAGGCCCATTTACTTACTGAGAATTCCAGCAAGATGACAGCTTCATGCCTGTCATGAACAGCACTAGTTGTTGTAGTTACTGTGTAGGTTGAGGGTGACTCACTCTGTTTCATAGTCCACCCAGTAGCAGCTGCCTACTAATAATTAAACCTATTTTGTTGCAGTCCCAAAGTGAAAAGGTTCGATTACACTGGCCAACATCCTTACCTTCTGGAGATGCATATTCTGCTGCGGGGACTCACCGATTTGTCCAAAAGGTAAAATATTTCTCATTAACTCCTCTGAATAATGGGCTCACCTGTGATATTGCTGTATAATATTTTGTCTGGGTAGGTAAGTGGGGTTTTTTAGGTGTTTCTGGTAACTTACAATGGTTACTAATTTTCAAATTAAGTAGCTGGAATTGGAGGAGAACTGTTTTCTGTCTTGGCTCAGAAAATACTGATTGAAGTATCTATTTAGAATACTCTCAGCATATATCAAGCTTGTCAGTTAGATAATAAAGGAAAAATCCCAACTTTCTAACTTCAGTGTTCTTAAGATACCTTCACTAAAATTCACTGAATTGATTTTATTAGAAAAAAAAAAAATAAAAATCCAGTCACTTGTCAACTGTTCCTGATACAATTTTTTGTGTTACTGGAAACACTATGCTCCTCTCAGGGCTACACTGGGAGCATAATACATAATAGGTGCATGAAATCAGCATTCGCTGCTGTGCTTGCTGCTTATGGTCCTTTTGTTTCCTTTTCTTCATTATCTTGTGCTTGCAAGTTGGTACTGAATGCTCTGTTGTGCCTTTGTTCTGATTACTTGGTTTTTTCTTTGTCTGTCTCTGGTAGCCCTATAGTCGCTCTTCTTCCATGTCTTCCATTGATCTAGTCAGTGCCTCTGATGATGTTCACAGATTCAGCACCCAGGTACTGTATTAATGTGTAGAGTGGGGGTTGCATATCTTTGCTGTATTTCATCCTCTTCTCTAGAACCTGGGTTTTTTGTTACATAAATCACTGCTTGCTTTAAATTAGTATGTTGAGACAAACAAAGGAGTTCTATATTCCTGTACTAAATGATTGTGTTTTTACATCCAGCTTGCATGCGTATCACTTGTGCAGAGGCCTAGATCTTGTGAAACTGTTGGCTTTAATTCAGTAACTTTAATAAAAATACCTACACAATTTGAAAATTTTACATTTCTGATTATAATGAAAGTAGAGTAACACCTGTTTTTTGTGGGCTGGAGATGGTCTGCTTCAAATTGAATAGTTTTTCTTGCTTTTAAATAAAAGGTTTGGTTTTTTTGTTTAATATTTGTTTGTAATGACATTAAGATACTAAGTGTTAAAGTTCACTGTTTCTATTTTTTACCTCTACAACTACTTTTACTGAAAGTTTGTAAAGTATTTTGGCAAACAGGATTATTTCTATGAGAATTTTTACTGAAGAATTTCAATATATTCACTATATTCATATCCTTTAGAGAGTCAGTCTGACATCCTGAATGTCAGTGTCATCATAGTGATGTATTTCAGTAATGTACAAAATTGCTATAGGTTCTTGCTCTGAAGATCGTAGGTTAGAGTAGAATTAGATAGGTGAGTTCATGTGTTTTCTCTTTAGTCTGAAAAAAAGTTATTCAGACATGGCATTCATGCCATTAGTTTCCTTCTGCTGTGGTCTGTCTGTGATTGTGGATGTGGAGCTGCTTCTGGGATCTGTTATTTTGGAGGGGTTTTTAAAAAATTAATGCTGCAAACAGCCTGCTTTTTCAAACAGAGGGAATGGATTTTCTTTTTATTAACAGAGCCTGGAATCGTACCACCTGCAGATCTTACTACCAACTTTGTGAGCAAGACCCTCAGGCATAAGGACTTGCTTGCTGGACTGAATACCCAATGCTTGCCTTGATGTTTCGCAGTCAGTTGATTTCTGAAATTTGAACTTATTGCAAGGGGAAAAGTATGCAGGTCATACTCCATTAGTCAGGTTATTTTTTCCAGTTTTGCTTTAGTCTGGGAAGAGGAGGAAGTCAACTAATAGAAAGCAAGTTTGATTCTGAAGATAGGAGCTGGCTGTCAGACTGTGGGTACATGGGCTGTTCAATATAAGGGAAATGCATAGTTGCTAAAATATGTGGACCTCCTCATTTTCAACTCTTTCATGCCTGTAATAACATTTCCACATTCATATGATAAACCTGAGTATCAGAGCACTAGTGTGACTGAAAAACTAACCATTCAAAAACAAATCTGAGGTGACAGTTATGATAATAACACAAATTGAGGTTAAGGATCAGGATCAAATTAACTGTAGTCAAGTTGATGCTCTTTTCAGCTGCTGTATGGATTGTAATGCATAGAAGTTACTACTGAGTGCCTTCGAATGCAGTTTCAAGTTGGTCAACTCATTGCAGGAAGGATTATCTTCTTAACTTATAGGAAACTCCTCTCCACACATACCCTCCACCCCCCCAGATCTTTTCTCTAGAACAAGTTTTTGCCAGATCAACAAGTTAGTCCACCTGCTCTTGAGCTTCATTGCTAGTAAACAAGCAGGTGAAAGACAACTGAGAGCATGAAGAGAAAAGCAGCACACCTTTGGGTGGCAACCAGCTCTGGACATTACTGACATGAAGTTGGCCTCTGTCCCCAGGCTGAGGATGTGGCCTTTGGAAAGTCAAACTAGTATCTTGATTCTGAATAAGTGTGACTTGTTTCTAGACTTCATTGATTCAAAGGGAATTTTGGTATCAGTACAAGGTCAAGTGGAAACTTGCAGCCTTGTTTTTAAGATTGAGAAGTATAAACATGTTTTGTGATGGGAGCTGGTTCTTCAGTGTGAAAGGCATTGATTTGTCTCTGCCAGTCAAGTGGGAGGTTGTGGGCTTAAAATGCTGTAGATGTATTGCAAGTTATTTTCTTATAAAGGACTATCAGATTTTAAAATAGATTGAGCACGTCTGAGAGCCTTTAAAGTGAAGAACTTTCCACATAATGTTCAGGCCAAGGTTGCATAGCATGCAGGTTACAGGTATTTTTGCAGACCACTCCTGTAGCCTGCTAGGAACCTAGAGGTAATAGTGTGGCCTCCCCAGAGGGAAAGAAGCTGTGAATCTTGACTGTGCCTCTGAAATAGGTGCTGGTTCACAGACAACGACCAGTGCATAGATTACATACAGTCTGGGCAGGTAGTATGGGTAAGGCAGTTGCAGGTACTGAATTCCTTGGTGAAGACGTAGGAAACTGTTTAGATTG